CTTTTGGCTGCGTGCAAGTGGGTCCTTGTGACACACGGGGATGGGGGCAGCCAGCGCTCAACCTGTCATCCACGTGGCTGGCCTTGTACGTAAGAGGTTATGAACAGGTGGAGCTTTCCTTACCTCTTCCCTTTCCCTTTTTTCCTTTTCCTTTTTTCTTTCCCCTTTTGTGCGCTCTGATTCACAATGTGACAATATATATGCATCCACGTGGGCGGCCTTGTACACAAGAGGTTCTGAACAGGGGGAGTTATAAGGAAGAAGATATAAAACTGAATTCATTTTTTCCTGCTGTTCTTCCTTTTTTTCTTTCTTTTTTTTTTCGCATTTGCGCTCTGACATTTTTGTGACAATATATATGCATATATATTTTCCCTGTGACTATCTCTCTCTCTCTCTCTTATATATATCGTCAAATAGAACTGCCCGGTAAACCGTAGGCAGAGAGGGAGAAGAGGACATATATATATGTATATATGTATTTTTGTATACGACCGCCCAAGAATGACTATATATATTTGTTTCCTTTTTTTTTTTTTCGCTTTTGCGCTCTGATATCTTTGTGACGATATATAGACGAAGTCTTTACGTATAATACACCCTATTTTAAGTAGGTTCTTTTTGAAACGTGCACCCTCTGTCGAGCGAATGATGAGGACAGGTAATAAAAGGTTGATCGAAAATATGAGAAAAAATCTGAGGAGTGGTGATTGAAAGTTGTGAAAAACGGAACAAGCGAATGGATGCGCTGCAGAAAAGTGTGGTCGAAACCGGAGAGCGACGAAAACGAGAACAACGAAGGGAAAGGGAAAATGAAAAATGACGAAACGAAAAGCATGAGCGGATGATCCTGAGAAGATGGAAAACTGAAATTAAGAAATGAGAAAGAAAAATGCTAAAGGAAAAAGGCGAAAAATCAGTAAAAGAGTGACTAAATCAAAGGCAATGTAAGACGATGACTGACAATGCTTCTCATTTGTGCGCGCGCGCGCGCGCGCGCGTGTGTGCGTGTGTGTGTGTGCGTGCGTGCGCGCGCGCGTGTGTGCGTGTGTGTGTGTGTTAGAGAGACAGACAGAGAGAGAGAGAGAGAGAGAGAGAGAGAGAGAGAGAGAGAGAGAGAGAGAGAGAGAGAGAGAGAGAGAGAGA